TTTTTGGAAAAAACATTGGGGAAAAATGCGATTTGGGGGGGGAAATGGGAGAAATGGGAAAAAAAGGGGGGGAAATGGGGAAAAATAGGGAGAAATGGGGATAAATGGGGAGGAAATGGGGGAAAATGGAGAATGTGGGGGGGAATGGGTCAGGGCTCTCGCTATGGGGCGCGCCCCCCACTTGTGGGTCTGTCCATGGGTCTGTCCATGGGTCTGTCCATGGGTCAGGGCTCTCTATGGGTCTGTCTATGGGTCAGGCTCTGTCTATGGGTCTCTCTATGGGTCTCTCTATGGGTCAGGCTCTGTCTATGGGTCAGGCTCTGTCCATGGGTCAGGCTCTCTCTATGGGTCTCTCTATGGGTCAGGCTCTGTCTATGGGTCAGGCTCTCTCTATGGGTCAGGCTCTGTCTATGGGTCAGGCTCTCTCCATGGGTCTGTCTATGGGTCTGTCTATGGGTCTGTCCATGGGGCAGGGCTCTCTCTATGGGTCTCTCTATGGGTCTCTCTATGGGTCTCTCTATGGGTCTGTCCATGGGTCAGGCTCTGTCTATGGGTCAGGCTCTCTCTATGGGTCAGGCTCTGTCTATGGGTCAGGCCCCATCCATGGGTCAGGCCCCCCACGTGTGGGTCTCACCGCCTCGGGGTCCCGCTGCAGCCGGGGGTGGGCGCAGAGGCCGAGCACCAGCAGCGCCCGCAGCAGCTCCCCCCAGCCCAGCGCCGCCAGCGCCCGGCCCTGCCGCAGCTGCGCCCGCACGCGCCCCACGCGCGCCTCCAGGGACTCCCCCTGCCCCATGGATCCATCCTGACCCATAGATCCACCCATGGATCCGTCCTGACCCATAGATCCACCCATAGATCCCTCCTGACCCATAGATCCCCCCATGGAGCCCTCCTGACCCACGGATTGCCCCATGGATCCATCCTGACCCATAGATCCACCCATAGATCCATCCTGACCCACAGATTGCCCCACGGAGCCCTCCTGACCCACAGATCCACCCATAGATCCGTCCTGACCCACAGATTGCCCCATGGAGCCCTCCTGACCCACAGATTGCCCCATAGATCCGTCCTGACCCATAGATCCACCCATGGATCCGTCCTGACCCACAGATTGCCCCAGAGATCCATCCTGACCCACAGATCCCCCCATGGATCCATCCTGACCCACAGATTGCCCCATGGATCCCTCCTGACCCACAGATCCCCCCATGGAGCCCTCCTGACCCACAGATTGCCCCACGGAGCCCTCCTGACCCACAGATCCACCCAGAGATCCATCCTGACCCACAGATTGCCCCATAGATCCCTCCTGACCCATAGATCCACCCATGGATCCGTCCTGACCCATAGATCCATCCTGACCCATAGATTGCCCCAGAGATCCGTCCTGACCCACAGATTGCCCCACGGAGCCCTCCTGACCCATGGATTGCCCCATGGATCCATCCTGACCCACAGATTGCCCCAGAGATCCATCCTGACCCACAGATCCCCCCATGGATCCCTCCTGACCCACAGATCCCCCCATGGATCCATCCTGACCCACAGATCCACCCATAGATCCATCCTGACCCACAGATCTCCCCTTAGATCCCTCCTGCCCCATAGATCCCCCCAGAGACCTTCCCTGCCCCATAGATCTCCCCTGCCCCATAGATCCCCCCATTGATCCCCCCATAAATCCCCCCAGGGATGCTCCCTGCCCCATAGATCCCCCCAAGGATCTCCCCTGCCCCATAGATCTCCACAGGGACCCCCCCTGCCCTATAGATCTCCTCTGCCCCATAGATCCCCCCATAAATCCCCCCAGGGATGGTCCCTGCCCCATAGATCCTCCCATAAATGCCCCCATGGATCTCCTCTGCCCCACGGATCTCTGCCCCATAGATCCCCCCATAAATCCCCCCATAGATCTGCTCTGCCCCACAGATCCCTGCCCCACAGATCTCTGCCCCATAGATCCCCCCATAAATCCCCCTATAGATCCCCGCCCCATAGATCCCTGCCCCATAGATCCCCCCATAAATCCCCCTACCCCCCCCTGCCCCACAGATCCCCCCCCCACGGATCTGTGCCCCACAGATCTCCACAGGGACCCCCCCTGCCCCACAGATCTCCCCCCCATAAATCCCC